CTTTCTGGGGTTTGGGCTCAGGATTTAGGGCAAGATGTGACCTCCTAGGGAAATGTTCTAGCCGCTCCTGCTGGGGAGCCTGGCGACTGGGGGCCAGCATGGGTAGGTACAGGGGAGCCTCTGTTCCAGGCCCAGCACCTGGTGGATCTTGGGGCGCTCCGAGGGCCCCAGTCCTGCAAGCACACACAGGTTCTGGGCAGCCCCTCATGAGGGTCCGGCTGTGGCTGCCACCACCTGGTCCCCAGCCTTCCAGACTCAGGTCTGCAGAGCCACCGGCTGCAGCCACCTGCTGTCCTAGGCTGGCTGAGGGGATGTCCCAGAGGCACATGCCAGGTGGGGAGGACAGGTGTGGGGATGGGGCAGGGAAGAGGGAGGCTGTCCTCCTTGAGGAAGTGACTGTGGGGGTGGGCAGGGTGCTACGGCAGTGAGAGTGGATGGCAAAGAGCTTGGAAGGGCAGAACAGGTCCCGTGGGGGCCGGCGGGGGCTCTACCTTTGTCTGAAGGTGGTCTCTGAGTCAGTGGGGGGCAGTGACGTGATCGAGGGTCCTTGACCGTTTCTGGGCAGTCCCAAGGGGGACTTGAGACAGAGCTGGCGGTGGGCTCAGCAGTGGGTCAGGTGTGTGGCAGGGCGGGGGTCAAGGTGCCTGGAGTGGGCGGGTGATGGGGCTGGGGGTGGGCTGGCTGAGGACCTGGTATGAGCCTGGGAGATGGAGGAGAGGCAGCCCCAGCCCTCCCCCCCCGGGTCTGCATGCTGGGTTGTGGCCTCAGGGCAGTGGGCACTTGGTAGCCCAACCAGAGACAGTGCAGAGCTTGGGTGGGTCGCCACGTGCCTCTGCAGCCTTGAGTGTCCCCTTACCTGGGTCTCAGTTTCCCCAGAGAACTGGCTGGCAAACCCACCCCTGTCCTCCCTGATCTGCAGGGGCGGGCTGGAGTCTACGTGTACCTCCCCCACGAGGGCCCCACTCAGTTACTCAGGCCTTCACCATGAAGACCCACGTGATGGTGCATCCCGGAGGAGCAGCTGGGGCTCGTCTGCCCCGTGGAGACCACCTGGGAACCCGAGGCGGGCAGCCTTGGGCAGGGCACCCTGCTTCTTTCCCCCGACCTCCATCCCAGCCCTGTTTAAGGGGTTTGAGGGCTTCCTAGGGGCTCTGGTATAAGAAGATGGGCTGGCTGTCCTGGAGGTGACCTCGGCCGGCGTGTCCTGGTGGGTGGTGAGGCAGCTTGGCCCAAGCCTGGGCTGTCCTGGAGGTGACCGTGGCTGGCGTGTCCTGGTGGGTGGTGAGGGCGGCCGTCAGCAGGGCCATTTGCTCAATGTGCCGGAGATGGTAAATGCGGCCGGCAGCTGTCGGTGCGATGGATGTGCAGGCGGCAGGGGACCTCGCGGTGGCCGCTGTCAGCTGGCACCCGCGCCCCAGGCCTGCTGGGGCTCACTTTGCTGGAGAGAGACAGCCCGGTGCTGCCTGGCGCCCTGCCAGCCGCCGCTGCCACTACTGCGGCAAAGTGTTTATCCAGCAGTTTCCCCAAAACCGGGACTTTTAGAGAATGTTCGTGGAGCTCAGGACGTGGGGGCCAGGCAGCTGGGACGGGGTGGGGGCGCTGCATGGTGTGCATGCTGGCCTGCCACGGGGTGAGGCTGGGCCCCAGGTCTGCTGATGCCCGGGGCAGGCTGGCAGCATGTGTCCTTTGGGACTCAAGCATCTATCTGGGAGGCTGCCTGGTGGAGGCCCCCTGCCCAGGCTGAGCTGGAGGGGCCTGGGAGTGGTGGGGGAGGGGGTGGAGGTGCCCCAGCACCTCTGCAGAGCCCCACCTCCCTTCAGCCACTGGCAGCAGGGCACACATGCTCAGAGAACTCGGGGGTTCTACACCACGTGTGGGCTTACGGCCCCTGGCGGGAGCAGGTGTACCTGGTGGGCACGGGTGCCTCTGGCCCAGGGGAGTGGTAGCCTGGGTGCAGACTCTGGTTGCCCTTTGCTCCCTGAAAGGCCGGGCAATGGCACCCATGTTTGGTGATGGTGCGGGTGCTACTGCCTTGCGCACAACTCCTGCCCTCATATAGTGGGTTGGGGGGACCTGAACAGGGTGAGGTCCCAGGAGGAGCACCCAGCCCCTCTGGGGAAACTGAGGACAGGGAAGAGACCCACCAAGGCCTATTTGGGGCCAAGGGTTCAGAGCCTGGATTCCAGCCCAGCCCCCCAAGTGTGGGCCAATCCCTCTGGCTTGGACCACATGTGGGGTTTTTGCAGGGAGTCTGGCCAAGGGGCCCTGGGGCTGGCTGAGGCCTGCTCTTGCCTCCCGTAGCCCAGAAGGGGCAGCTGTGCATGCCTGGCCCCCAGTCCCCACCCCAAGGGGCAGGTGCTGACCCACCAACACTGGCCCCATGTGGCCTTGAGGACAAGGACAACAGGGGAGGGGTGGCCTGTCTGGGCGGATTCATTAGGGTGCAGACCAGCGCCTGGGTCATACCTGGCCCTGCTGGCGGCCACCAAGGGGCCGGCCGCCTCCTGCAGTGGGAATGTAGAGACCTGGAGAGAGGTTCTATGTGTCTCAGAGCCAGGCCCCCAGGCCCCTGGGGGCCACCTGTGCCAGGCTGGGGGGCCGCCAGCCCAATTCCCAGCAACAGTTTCCATGTGCTGCCTCTGGCCCCTGGGGGCCCACCCTTGGCTCCCCTGGTAGGGTGTGGTGGGGTCAGCATGGACCTGGCATGTCTCCAGTTCAGGGTACTGGGTCTGGGGGAGTCCAGGGCAGTTAGGAGAGCCCCCCAAACCCACCCTGCTCCCAAGGCTGGCTCTGAAGCCTTCTGCCCCCCTGGGGGTGGGGTAGCAACCCTGGCTCCTGGAGCTTGTGGGGCACGGGAGGGGACTACCAGGTGCTTGTCCCCAGCACCCCGCCTGGGGCTGACAGGTCTCACTTCAAGCAGGGACACTGAGGCCGTGTGCAGTGTGCTGGGTGGGGCCGCGTGCCGGGCGCGGGAGTGTGGCCCGCCAGGCTCCGGGGGGCGGCAGCAGTTGGCAAACCAAGATGGATCTTCCGTGCGGCGTGGCGGCTCATCGCTCTTGCCCGCAGTTAGCGTCCCGGGGAGCAGCAGCTGGCGGCAGGGGGGGCACTCCATCAGGGCCGACAGCTCCAGACTGGCGCCAGGCGGGTGGGAGCGCAGGGCGCCGGGCGGCAGTGGGTGGGCGCACCCCCAGGAGTTCTCTGCTCACCCCACCAGGAGCCACAGCTGCGGGGGTGGGGGTTGTCGGCCCAGGCGAGGAGCTGGTGTCGGAAGGTGGGGCCCACACCCACAGGACGGCCAGAGGGGCTCGGGACTGGGCAGCGTGGGCTGGACCCACTTAGTGCGGTGGGACTTGCTTACCGGCATCAGCATGGAGTGTGAGTGGCGACAGGTGAGAGCATGGAAGCTCCCTGCTGCTTCACCCTTCCCTGTTGGGCCAGCCAGGGTTTAAGGGGGGTCCCTCCGTTTCTGGCCCAGGTCCCCAATGTGGCCTGGCCCTACCCTGTACCTGTGGGCCTGGCCAGTGGCCCCCGCCTGGGCTCGGGATGGCACTGAGCGTGGCTCTCTGCTGCCTCCTCTCCCCCCAGGACTGGCCTTGTAGGGCAGGGATGGGAGAGTTGGAGCCGCCCTGTCTCCCAGCATCTCCCAGCTGTCCTGCGCCCTGAGCAGCAAGGAGGTGCTCAGATGGGGGTCTGGGCAGTGGGGGCTGGCGGGGATGGAGGTCCCCAGGCTTAGAGGCTTTAGTCATTCTCTGGGCTCGCTGGCTGGCTTCTGCCTGTGCTCTGGGACCCCTGCATGCCGGCTCCCAGGGTTGTGATGGGGGGGACACAGGCCTGCCCCGCCCACAGCCCAGGGTGTGTGGCTGCAGGATTGATGAGGTTGGAGACCGGCAGGGAGGCACCCAAGGCCATAGACAGAGGGTCTGGCTGTCATCCTGGTCTTTAGAGACCCTTGTTTTGGGGAAGCAGTTTGTGGGGATGCCTTGCCCCAGGCCCAGGACCCTGTGAACCTGGCGTACTCTGGCCATCCCACCCCTGTGACATCTCTATTTTGTAGGGTTGCGAGGGTGGGCTTACCAAGGGGCCTGAGTGGGGCTGCCCTCACACTCCGGGACCCCCATCTCCACATCCTGGCCCCTCTGATGAAGCCGGCTTCTGATAAAAGTCCCCCGTCGTTCCAACTCTTTGCTCGGCAAAATGTAAATGAAGCGTTTTTTCTGGGTGTCAGTATGAAAAATGACGGTCGCTGGGACATTGCAGAGGACATCTGCTCTGATGCCTGAGCGTGAGGGGCTGTATGGCTGATGTCGCAGAACTGGGGTGCGGTCTGAGTACCTGGGTGGGATGCTGCACGGCCCCCTGGCCGGCCCTAGGGGTGAGCGTTTGTGCTCTGAGCCTTGGCACTCCTGGCCATCTGGCTGGGTCTGACTTGCCGGGCCTGGGGCCTCTGGACGGTGAATGCTGCCACCCTGGGAGGGAGTTATGCTGCCTGCAGGCCCCAAGTCTCCCTCCATTGTGCCACAGACCCGCTCCTAGCTGGCTGCCCGGCTCGACCGATCTTCATCTCAGCCAGGGGCTGGCTGTGGGGTTTGCGGGAACGTTCTCAGCCCTCAGGGCCAGGTGGATGGCCAGCCCATGCTGGCCGTGCTGCTGGGGACCAGCCGCCTGGTGCTGCCTCCTCCAGGGAGGCCTCCAGACTGGCCCAGCTCCTTCCTCCTGCCTCCCCCAGTCTGTGTCCTTCCCACGGGGCCTCTGGTGGTTCTGCAGGTCACCTGTGTCTAGGTGCTTGGCTCTTTCAGACACGGGCCAGGCGGTGCTCATTAGGGGAGGCAGCTGCAGCCCACTGTCCTGCTGGGCCCACATGGTCTCTCGCCAGCCCTGCTGCCCCATGGGGACATATTTGGGGCATGTCTGCCCTCGGCCTGAGCTGGCACAGCAGCCACCAAATGCAGGTCTTGGGAGACGGCTCCAGGGCCCAGCCCTCAGCTGCCGTGTGCCCGCAGGAGAGTACATCAAGACCTGGCGGCCACGCTACTTCCTGCTCAAGAGCGATGGCACCTTCATCGGCTACAAGGAGCGGCCGCAGGACGTGGACCAGCGGGAGTCGCCCCTCAACAACTTCTCCGTGGCACGTGAGTGGCCCTCGGTGCCCTGCTTGGGACTGGGTGGCTGGGTCCAGGGCCCATGCTGAGACTGCTCTGCTGGGACAGGGACAGCAGGCCCCAGGTGGGCTGCCCAGAGATGCCTCCTGGGCTCTTTGACAAGAGGCTGGGGGGCGGAGCCTGTCGGAGAGGGCAGCAGCCTCTCGGGGAGCAGGCGGGGCAGAGGTGTGCAGGTGGGGGCTGGTCCCCAGCAGGAGCCTGGGCCCTCCTTCCCCCAGGCTGGGTGGGGCACCTGGGCAGGGTGCTGTGTGTGGGCCTGCGCTTGGGGCTGAGGGGGCCAGGCTTGGTGACACAGCCTAGGCAGGTGGGACAGCCTCCCAGCCCTGTCCTCAGCCCCTGACACCATCACCCGGTAACAGATTATGGACATGGATTTCCTGGTTGGAGTACAAAGGTGCACTGAGCCCCTGCCCCAAACAGGTTGGGTGGGGCGTGTTGGCGGGTGGACCGCGGTTCGTCCTGCCACCATCGAGGGTGTAAGCACCGTGATGGGGGCAGTGGGGCACTGGGAGCACCTTGGTTGTGGGCTCTGTGTGCCTCACTTGAGTGTGTGGATGGTGGGACCTCAGAGGACTGGCTCGCCGGGAAAGCCCGCCGTGTTGACCCAGGCCGCTCAGTGCTGGCCTGGAGCCGCTTCCTGGCCCCTTGGTGTTGTCAGGCAGGCCCTTACGCTGGAATGTGGAACAGTCCTGAGCTGGCTGTGTGCCCCACCCCTCGCCCACCACTTTCAGCCCAGGCCCTGCCTGCAGGCCCTGCTGCGGGTGTGGGTCCCTACACCCATATGTGTTCTCAGTTCCAGCCAGCACTGCCCTGGGAGCCCTGGGGAAGGGTCACCATGTCCTCAAGCCCCCAGCCAAGGCAGGGAGCCTGTGAAGGACCCCATCCCGGTGCCCTCTCCCAAGAGGGACGATGGTGCCCAGCCTGCAGGGGGCCATTTGACTTGGGAAGAAAGGGCTGGGAAGACTCTCGGTTCTGACACCTCACCGCCAGCCCCTCTGGGACCCTGCGTGCCTACCACTGGCCTCTTCAGGGTGGTGCTCAGGGAGTGAGCATGCAGGTGTGAGGGGATGTGGGGTGGGGTCGACCCGACCCAGCCTCAGACATGGCTGTGGGGCCTTGCAGAGTCACGGCAGTGTCCGAACTGGAACGGGGTCCCGACCCCATCGTATAAGGAAGGAAACTGAGGCTGTGGGAGGGGATGGTGTGGGGTGTAGCCTGGGTAGCAAGGGGTGTGGCTAGGGTCCTGGGCACTTAGGCGGCCTTGGGGAGGGCAGGTGTGGGAGGAGCAGTCTCGGGACATGGCACGGGGCCCCACCCCCAGAATGCCAGCTGATGAAGACTGAGCGGCCCCGGCCCAACACCTTCATCATTCGCTGCCTGCAGTGGACCACAGTCATCGAGAGGACCTTCCACGTGGAGACGCCGGAGGAGCGGTAGGCCCACTCTAGAGCAGGCGGGGCGCCTGGGAGGCAGGTGGCGGGGCCAGGAGGTGCCCCGCCATCAGGGCTGGGCGGGACTGCCCCTGGCGGAGCTGCCTTCCTGGAGCTCCCCTGGCCGCACCCCCAGGGAGGAATGGACCACGGCCATCCAGACAGTGGCCGACGGGCTGAAGAAGCAGGAGGAGGATATGATGGATTTCCGGTCGAGCTCGCCCAGCGACAACTCGGGGGCTGAGGAGATGGAGGTGTCCCTGACCAAGCCCAAGCACCGTGTGGTGAGCCCCCCACCTTGGCTTCTGCCTGGGCCGGCTGGGGCTCAGGGCTTCCTCTAAAGTCCCTTTTCTCTGGATGCCCAATCTGGGCAGCCATGAGCCCCAGCCAGTTTCAGAAGTGGAGTGGGGGTGCCTGGGGCTGTCAGGGCCACGGTCTTGCAAAAGCCCAGGGGTCCTAAGCTTTCCCATGCTCTCTGGAGGGAGGAGGTCGCTCCTCCACCCGCGGGGGGCCTTGGGATGCCCCGTGTCACACATGTCATCGGTTCTCGCTGGCCTGCTGGCCATGTCCTCCTCCAGGGCAGGTGGGTGGGTGGGAGGGGCATGCCCTGAGCCTGGCCCTGCCCACTGCCCCTGCAGACTATGAATGAGTTCGAGTACTTGAAGCTCCTGGGCAAGGGCACCTTTGGGAAGGTGATCCTGGTGAAGGAGAAGGCCACAGGCCGCTACTACGCCATGAAGATCCTCAAGAAGGAGGTCATCGTAGCCAAGGTGGGGCTGCGGGGTGATGGGGCGGGGCTGCGGGGTGATGGGGTGGGGTTGCG